TAACGATATCTGAGTTGATGAGACTCAATCATGTTAGCCAAGCTTTAGATATCACACAGTTGTCCAAGCTCAGAATCAGACAAATTGTACGATGACTTCACGACTGCTGTCATTGCACAATTCGACGATTCCCTATACATATTTGCTGGTAATTGCAATAGGTTCGACACCACATTGTTAACAACAGTTGGAGTACAGAACATCGTGAAATGTCACACCAAGTTAGAAGCACCCTTGAACTTGGAGTTTGTTAACAACTCAAAGGATGTTCCAGTGACTACTCGGGCGCCACTTGGAAGCTCTGATCATTCTTTAGTCAAGCCGTCTCCTGTCGTCTAGAGTAAGAGGAACTACAAGGAATTTACTCGCGGCAAGTAAGGTAAAATTAGACGGAGGCAAACCAATCCCCCAAACACAGCACTGCTGAAAGAATACGCTGCCTCTACGGATTTCAGTTTGTTTTTCGATGCAGATGCCTAAGCATATTGCGAACGGATGACAAGTTATCTGAACTTCTCTTTTGATCTCTGCTGTCTGATGGAAAATAGTCTCCTTCGTGCTGACCGGTTCTCCTTACCACTCCTCAAGCAGCTGCGTCAACTTAAGGAGAGAGCTTTCAAAGTTAAAGATCGTGCCTCAGTAAAGTTTCGTTCCATATGCATCAGGAAAGAACTGCAACACTTCAAACATGCCTACGTCCAGAGAATCCTAGGAGGACAATAATTACCGTGAGATTTGGCAGACGATGAAACAACTTAGCTGAGTCGCTCGTCATAGTACGAAATCTGATATCAACGTAGAAGGATTAAATCGTTACTTCTGCGGCTCCAGCAGGGATCTACTCGCCAACTCGTCATCTGCACATATGCGAGTGGCCTACAAACACAGTGCCAGTTGTTGATTTTGCAGCACTTCACAGGAAGCTTACCCAGATAAACTCAAGCAACTCAAGCAACTCTCCCTTTGTTCTTAAGGAATCTGCAAATCCACTGGCCCAAACACTAGCTGAGTTGTACACCATGTGCCTGAACAAGAACAAGATCACACACTGTTGGACAGCTGTTAGTATAACACCACTACCGAAGAAAGCGACAGGTAAGTACCGAAATATTGTCTGCACTTTGGTGGCTTTGATGGTCTTGGAGAAAATCCTGCTCGAAATATTGTTAACTCGATCCAGTCTGAATGACGCACATCAATTTGCATACCGAAGTTTGAGGTCGGCTCAAGGCGTAGTGGCTTGTCTAATGCATTCACTGTTATTGTTAGTAGACAGCAAGAACAAAGCCACACGTGTATGCTTTCTTGACTACACCAACATCTTCGGTTGTGTTAACCGTGAAATCCTGTTTCAAGTTCTCCTGCCTTCTGGTATCCAACCATCCATGCCTTTGTTGATACAGGATTATTTTGCCAAACGTACACAGATAACCAGAGGTAACAGTTGGAGCTCCTTGCCACTTACCACTACTTCCGGTGTCCATCAAGAAGCCATTTTGTCGCCATTCTTATTCTCTACGTACGTTGGCCCCATCCCTGTCCCTGAAGAAGCCATCATTCTAAAATACACCGAAGACATGCTAATCGGCGCGAATAATCTAATTTCAGCCTCCTGCATCATGTCACAATGTTGTTTGGATAAAATCATGCATTAGTCAAACTCCCGCAGCTTAACGCTGAATGTCTCCAAATACAATGATGTACTGTTTTAGCTGCATAAGGCAGATCGTTACCAGGAATTCGTCGCTGACTGTTCCCAACTTCATGTCAGTGGTGAAAGCCTGAACATCTCGACCTCAGTGAAGTAGCTGGGAATCACACTGAGCCACGATTTATTTGGGTCAATGCACGTAAATGAAGTAGACACCAAAGTCAGGTGACTGTCCATTTATGTGTCATAATTTCGTCCATCCTCAGTCTGCCACCAGTTGATCCTGCGATTCGTCATTGCGTGTGTTCTATCACACTGGACCTACTGTTCTCTTGTGATGTTTCCGTGAATATTGGGTAAGCATTTCAAACTACTTCATGGGTCACTGAAACACATACCTCGATGCAGTGGCATTTCTAAACGAACCTTGGTTCAACACATTGTATCTGCTCATGTTGATTCATGCGCAATACTTGCTTCGAAAATACTCACTGCTATCAGCCATCCTTTACATACTGTTTTATCTAACTATAAACCCAGTTTCTCAACGCGACGAAACTACATAGCCAAAGATGTCCGCATGTGGGCCTACGGCTCATCTCTCAAAACTTAGCGTTCTGCTTGATCTGAATACTATCATTCAGAACTAAACGGCAAATTATGTTCGTGATTCTGTACTACACATTAAACATTGTTTTAGCCGCCCTATTGTTACTGTTTTTGCATGTCTTTTATTGTTTTTCTTTACCGTTTCGATCGCGCGTGTGTTAAAGCTGAAAACCCAGCCTCCCTGGGTGCATACAAGCGAATTCCTGGCTAGTCTTGACTTGATATGAAACGGCAGCGATTATCAGTTAACAACGTCTAGTGTACTTTACGAAAATAAGTTATACTAATCAGCAATTGTTACCCTATTCCTTTTATAAACGAATAACAAAGTAGGGGACATTAACGGTTTGGCTTGCACTGTTCCTTACTTGTTATCGCAGCTGAATATCCAGACATGCCAGTTACTGGAAGATTTACCCGGCGGTTTCCACGCTTCAAAATGTCATCCATCGCTTATGATCACTCATAGAAGAGGGCTCAACAGCTAAGCTTTCGTTTTGGCTCTCCCTCGTTTATACACTTAAGCGCGCTTAGAGTTGTTTATAAATAAACCGCATACATTACATGTCGGATCAGATACTCTTCTTAGCAGTAACAATGACTGTATGAAGTGCTTTAGCTTTAACCTATCTGCTTCATTTAGTGTTGTGTTTGTGTCGAGGAACTTACTGGTGAAAGCACTATATAAAAGTTATAATTACTTATGAATAAATGAATTTTGTCCAGTATTTTTTGTTCGTCGCAACCACATTACCATCCGGATAAGTGAACTCCGATATACAAAGGAGGTAAGCGATCGGATCCTGCCAACTACCGACTCATTACTCTACTCCCTGTTTTACCAAAACTAATGGAATCGTTAGTTGCAGATGAAGTTACACGATATTTTGAGAGTCTGAAGCTAATTTCTCACCTCCAACACGGCTTTAGGCGCAAACGATCTTGCCTCATAAATCTGCTTCTTGCTCGGGATTCATGGACCAAAGCGCTTGATGAAGGGTCCCCCCTTGATGTGATTTACCTAGACTTTTCGAAGGCATTCGACAGAGTCAATCACTTAGCTCTGCTTCATAAGCTTCGTGCCTACGGTATCCATGGTTCCCTACTCACCTGGCTAGCAGCATATTTGCATGACAGAACGATCAAGGTCAGAGTCGCCGATGCCCTCTCGGAAACCCTCTGCATCTCCAGCGGTGTTCCTCAAGGATCCGTCCTTGGTCCCCTTCTTTTTCGGGTCTACATAAACGACCTCCCGGATAATATTCAATCCTCGATGCAAATTTTTGCAGATGACGCAAAAATCTGGAGAGTTATTCGCTCAACATCAGACTGTGCCCTCCTCCAGAATGATTTGGATAGAATCAACAAATGGGCAGATATAAATCACCTCCCCCTGAATCCTGCCAAGTGTCACCTACTGTCATTGCGCAGCAATCTTGCCAACACGTACCTCTTGGGGCAGTACGTTTTACGGCGCGTGACCACAGAAAAAGACTTAGGTATCATTGTGCAAGAAAGTCTGGGGAATTCGCTCCAATGTTCCAAAGCAGCGAACGTGGCGAACATGAATCTGAGACTTTTGAGGCGAGCTTTTGGTGTTTTTGAACGACGGTTGGTACCCATGCTTGTCAACTCCTATATCCGTCCCCACGTCGAATATGCCGTCCAGGCTTGGTGCCCATGGTTAAAACGCGACATTCATCTCTTAGAGCAGCCCCAACGAAGAGCTACCAAGGCAACACGCGGATTATCTGGTCTCCATTATGAAGTGCGTCTCAGTTTAATCGGAATGTTTTCCTCCGAATACCGACGACTACGCGGAGATCTCATTCTCGCATACCGGATATTAACGGAAAGCGATCACCCGTGTAAATCGCTGCTCACCCTAGCCTCATATAAGCGATCGAGAGGTCATAACCTCAAGCTGATAATCCAACACTCCCGATTAGACTGTAGAAAATATTTTTACTCTCTTAGAATCTGTTCACAATGGAATGACTTGCCAACGCATGTGGTAAACGCTCCGAACATTACAGCCTTCAAACAATTGTTAGACATTCATCTGAGTGACAAACAACACATTGTGGTGTGATGTACTAGGTTTGGACTATTGGCATTTCAGTTCCATGTCGGAATCTAATGATTTTTATCTATTTTGCATTTACCATCCTATGGGTCTTGTAAAGCCAATGCTTTTTATCCCATCATACACTATCGAACTATTGAACTACCTCCCTAGAAAAGCAGCAGACGGCTGGTTCGCCTTATTGGCGCCCTGCAGGGGCGCGCATCCTTCGGTCCTCTACGGAGTATCGAACCCATGGTTGCTAATGGCTTGTGCCAACTAGCCAGCAGCTTATGCCACTAAGTCATAAGCATAAACTGCGGGCTAGTTGGTACAAGCCACTAGCAACCATAGGTTCGATCCTCCGTAGAGGACCGAAAGATGCGCGCCTCTGAAGAGCGCCAATAAGGCGAACCGGCCGTCTGGCGCTTTTCAGAGAGGTAGTTGACTTGTCTGATTTGTCAGCTGATTGAGATGAACACAATGGTATAATTAGTTATTACACTTTAAGTCCATCACACAGGATGCAAACTGTAGTATATTGGAAAATCGTCGTGGTAATGGGTAAAATTTTAAATAACTCATAGTGGCACAGACTTGGCTTTGTGGTCTGAACTACTGTTCATGCCTTATCAATGATAAATGATTCTGCTATATTAACTTCTCCCTTTTCAGGTACACACTTCAATGCGTCCTACCTTTGAATATGTTTCTGGAGAAGATATATATCTTCCTTTGGTTTTGGCACTGCTTGGTTGGACTGGTCACTCTGAGCAGCTTCATCATGTGGTTTTACCGCATGGGTTTCCCTAGCAGACGGGTCAAATTTATCCGCAAGTACTTGAAAATTATGTCAGTTCTACGCGACACAGATAAGGTGGCTTCTGCAAAGTTCGTGGAGAATTACCTACGCTCCGATGGCGTTTTCTTGATCCGATTGATTTCTATCAACGTTGGTGATCTATTGGCTGGAGACTTGTCCTGTGAGCTGTGGCACATTTACCGACACAAGCGTTTGCATGAGGTTGAGGAACAGAAGTTTCCCGATGCTACTACGGGACTGGGAGATTTTGTGATGCCGTCAGTTCCAGGCATTGTTTCAGACCACGGACCAGCTGCACCGGCGGAGTTGGTCTCGGGAACCACTGGAAGGCGCTTGGACAAAAATCACACTACGAGCGGACCCATGCGCACCGTTCCCGTCACCAGCACAAATAACTTAATTAATAACACCTCAACAAATAATGACGACAGTATTGTTTGATTTTGTCCCTAATCCTCTCTGGAATTGGCACCGCTCGGACCACTTGTATCTCGATTGTTTGGTCTTCGAACTTAAGCCGACTCAACACGTGGAATGCTAGCCAGCAGAAAGTCAAAAAATACGGTAACTGGCTTAATCCTTGTTAACTGTTATTTCTATTATTTGGAATTTTAGATCTGTAAAACACACTACCTCAGATCTTCCAATTATAAATATGCGTTCTTTACTCTGGTGTAGCTGAGAACTGCGCTACTTCAAATCACCTACGGAAAAGTCGCCACTACAACCATAAGGAATCGCTATTACAGAATAAATCTCTGAGAAAAGCGAATGTGTACCCTTTTTCATGTGCATTTTATTGGACGATTTTGCCCGAAAGCCCAAAGGTGATTAGCTCATGTTCATGTGCTACAGCTCACAAGTTTTCGCCCACTCTTCTTTTGTACACCGTGGTGCTCCTTGTGAAACGGAGATACATTTCTCCTCCTTAAAAGAACAATTTTTATGATGATTACTTGGGTTAATAAAGAAACATTTTAGAGTACAAATAAATGTTCTTCAAAGCAGCTTCCTTAGAGTAGGTCTTTCATCTCTCCTTTTATTGAGACATTCGTATATTATCCAACACCTTTGCTTCGCAAAACGTATTGTACTTCTAGTACAACTAGCGTTTGGCAAGGAACCTTCATATAATTTGGGTGACAACAATCGCAGATTTCTGTAACTGCTTCTAGGTCAGAACATAGAGCACATTATAAAGTTAGGAATCTCTTATCAAAATGCCCACGATCTTCGGACTTGTGGTTCGAAAAAGTAATGTATGTATGTACTTAGTTGAGGGGCTTTGTACTCTTGTGTTCTTTCCACTACTTAATAACTTTATAATGTCCAAATAAATAAGCAATGTAGCACGCATGCTTCTATGAGTTGTCAACTAGGTGCTCGTTAGATCTGTCTGTTCGACGAATCTTGACATCAGGCGTTTGGAAGTTTGCTTCTATCAGAAAGCTTAACAAGCAGCGTAACTTCTCGCCTTAAATTCACTTGAGGTGGATAAACCCCGTTCGTGCCACCCATCTAATATACTTACTTCTTGACCAATAGTTAGTTTCTTGGTTCATATTTTTCGGTAAACACTACGTACTGCACTTTCACGGTAATGTTCAAGTAATGGCTCCGGATATCGTCAGTATCGTTAGTGACTTCAGTAGAAAGACGGAAAGTGATGCTATCCAAAGGATCTGGTTGAATGAAAACATGTCTGTTGATTTAATTTGCGCTCATGTAAAATTAATAGGACATGAAGCGAGGGTTTTTCTGAGTTTTCTATCACAGAGTATCGGTGGTTTTTATAACCAAGTCGACTACATCTCCACTTAAGACTGAAAGCATCATGAATAACTTCAGCGTCTATGTAGCTATGACCTTTGTTCGAATATTTGAAGTAACAGCCACATTGATTGTAAAAGTATTTGTCGGAATGTTTATTGCGGTGACCTTTAAGAAAAACTTTGTGCCTTAAAGCAGATGCAACTGTCATTTCACTGGCCTCCTTATGAAGGTACTTTTAAGCCTTGGGTGGTCTTGTGTCATTGCATTAATCACTTACATTTAACTGCTGCGCATCAAATATAAACAAAATCTAGTAAAACTCTAACAATAGTCTTTCGTCCTTCCGGCAAAACTAATCCAAATATCCGTGCTGACCTTGCTACTAATTACAAATAGAACACGATTAGCTCGTTCGTTTGCAGAAATGAATCCAGAACAGCATAGAAACAGCAGACGACAGGTTACAGCAACTGGATATTATCATAAGTAAATCGTCAGTGAATTGCTTTGCCACCATTTGGCTTTGGTAATGCAAAGCAAAGAGAGTAGCCCGGGCCCAGTTATAAGAATCATCAAATGCAGCATGATATACATTAATGACTATACCGATAGTGAGGTGAGCACGGAAGCCATGGTGCATTCTGTCTTCACAGCAGACAAACAAATGCAGTAAAATTCCCCTTAGCTCGAGTGAATGCGCTTAAAGAATTCAAACAATTTCTGTACAGCATTTCACGGTAACTCTCAGTATATGGTACGTATAATATATTCACAAGTATGGATTTCTATTGCCTTCTTAAAATACTGTCCAGAATTTCGTTTCAACAGAACAGTTGTTCGTAGTTTTACTATCAATCGATTGGTTGCTTTTCTTCAGGGCATTTGCATTTGCTTATGAGATTATACATCGAACTCCATCGTCCAGAGGCTATTTTTCGTTGCGTCAAATTTACTGCGCCTTCTTTACAGCTGAATAGCATGAACAAAAGCAACAGGATTTAGCAATGCGGACTAAAGTAAGGAGAGTTGACTTAATTGCGCACTGTTTTCCCAGCCTTGTGCAAAATGTCAAGTTGAATTTCCTCCTCAAGGGACTACTGAATTATACGCATTGAAAGCGAAGTTACCCCCATTTCTTCCTTGAAGATGGTGGTGCTCGTTGTTTTTGACAGGATAAACAAATATCAAGCATGACAAGCAGCACAATTTATTGTGTTCCTTGGAGAATCGGTGAGTTTGGGTGACAGCGTTGCATGAAATTGAGTTATGGTCGAAAATAATTTGACGATAGCTGCCATATGAATGCTTCTCAGCATAGATTAAAGGAGCGCATTTTCAATTTTTGGTCAAGATGCGTGTTCTGCGGCATTTGAACCAATAAGCACTGTCCTTCACTGACTGGGGAAGTAGTGGAACAATTAAACGAAAAGTGAAATGTACGCACTTAACGAGACATTTAAAAGAAACGATGTGAAGAATGGACACAATGGTTTATTGTGGGCAAAAGTACTAATGCTTAATAGATCCCATGGGATTGAATGGTGAGTAAATCGGAAAACAAATTAGCGCCAACAAAATGAACAAGTCTTGGTAGACTTATCATGAAGTTACACTGAGAACATTAATGGTTTTTATTGCTCTGACACAGTCAGAATGTGTTACATCACGTAAATTAATTTTATGGTTGCATCATGAGGATGTTTTTTTCATATTGCTAATGTAGGTGGGAGAAATAGTATAAATGTGGCAGGTACCCCACAGCTATTGTACAGGAAAGAAATTCCAGCATTGTTCTAACTGGCTATACAACGTGACCAGTTTTAGCTGATGGCCTATCAGAGTGGTCTGATTTCCAAAGTCAGAATATGACTAGGAACGTTGCCTGGATTCTCCAGGATCTGCCCCCTCATTATCATATGAACACTCAGATGGGGATACTGTCCGTTGTCGACTTCAAGAATTTTCTGTCTCAGATGGTGAAGGGAGATGGAACAATAGCATTCCCGTTTACCCGCCGTTTAGAAATGGGAAACCAACAAGATCGTGCTTTTACCAGAGTTGACAAGCATGGATGGAGTTAGTTGTATCAGTCTAGTATAGGCGTTGGACTTGTGAGAGAAGATAGAGGGGTTACATTACTCGAATTCCCTTAGCAATGGGACCCGGTGTTTGTTTGCTTTTTTGAAAACTTATCGACTTAACGAGAATAGCAGAATCGTCCTGCATCAGCACTCATATGGTCGAATTAAAAAGAAGCTCGTTGCACTAGTTGACATTCCAGCCTGTACTCGTGAGTGCATTGAAGGTTTATACTCAGTGTTTTGCAGGCAGCCTATTAAGATGGAGTAGGCTCTGTGTTGTCCACTCACAAGCGCTATCCAAATGGTCCTGTTGTTTTACGTGATTGCCCGTTGTCTTAATGGTCCGCCGTATATTCAGCTCATCAGCGAAGCGTAAGAAATCTGAAGTGACCAGTGTGGTGTGCTCTTTCGTGTAAATCAATGATAGACGTGGACCAACTACTGAGCTCATTGGGACATCAAATTAGACGCCAACTGGGTCGGATGTGGAGCTGCTAGCTTTCCCATTCAGATATCGTTGAGGTAGGGAGGTACGTATCCAACCTGTTGCTTGAATGGCTCCTGGATTATAGTGTGCTAATTCAGACAGTTAAACATTTTTGAGTAGTCCGGACAAATTTTGCAATCTTTCACACCTGTATCGAAAATTTCAGCTCAAATGGAGTGAGAAAACAGCTGATTTGCGGTGCGAAAGCAGCTTTAACGGTATTTATGCAGCTCTGGTGCGATAATCTAGTTTTCCAAGTAACCCATGATTGCATCTGCTATCGTGACCTCCGTAACTTTGGCAAAATTTGTAAGGAGTGTTTATGAGCAATAACTGGCCAGATCCACACAACCATCTCCCTTGTGAATGGCTGTGAAGATAAGGTGTTTCCACATTGTTGGAACCCGCATTTCGTGGGGACATAGTTGAAAAAATCTGAGAGAGCCTCGCGGTCAAATTCATGGCAGCCGAAATCGATGTTTTGAGGCAGATATCGTCAGCATCAGCAACGATATACACACAAAGGGAGATTAGCAACTTCAGAAGATCTGCGGCCGTAAACGGGATATAGCTATGTCCTAGTGGTGATATAAATTGCGTGAACAGCATAATCGCCGAAGAGGTGATCTGTAAGTTGGGTAGAATCGTTGACATAGGGCGTTGGCAGCTTCTTTTGCAGATTGTGCTTGTCCAAGTGAACTGTGTAGGATCGGAACTCCTCGCTGAACTTTACGCAGTTTGTTGACCTATTTATAAATGAGTTTTAGATCTGAATAGCAAAGCACGTTTTAGATCCAGCTGAGATTTTGGTTTATTATTAAGTAACAAGTTGGCGCGTTGGTTACGTTGAGTCTTGTATGATTCCCAGATGCTAGTGACCGACGAGTTATTGTGCATCTTTCACACTCACTTCTGCGTTCTACTCTTCACATTGGGCTTCGTTCTCATCAAGCATAGCAACCCGTTCCTCAAAGCACTTGTTACTAGCTTTTCAAGTGATTGAAAAAGCCATCAGACATCGTCGTGTAATAGGTCAGAAAAATGACCAGTCGGCTGCATTAACAAGGTAGTCAGAACACAATTATCTTAATGTGCTTCAAATCGGTTGTTCCTTCGGAATGGTCAGCTAACCAGACGCATGTGAACAAGTGTTGCATAGAAAATGTTACCTGAAAGACTCAATCCTGAGACATTTTCCATCGTAAGCTCGTTGTTATTGAAAAACGAGGTCCAGGATAGCTGGTTCCTTCCCGGTCCTCAAAGCTGTAGGGGAAGTAGCGCAGTTGTTATGTGTTCAGCTACCGAATAGCAAATATAGTTCCACATTGAAATGTTCATCGAGTCATACGGATTTACCTAGAGCTCGAAGATTGAAGTCGCCCACGAGGGGAAAGTGACCGAGTGAACTCACCAGAATATTGTGCAGAGCGGAGTCTAGCTGAGTATCCGATTCTGATGAAGATGGTGGAGGGCAATACCCGACAATAAATAAACATGTGTCTCGGTGTTCTATGTTAGGACGACAACAAGGCGTTTAGCTCACTAAGGTAGCAAAGTAATATACCACATCTACTGGAAATTAGATGTAGTTCAGCATAGTCCCCTATCAGTTGAACAGGCTCCAACACGTCTGGAACGGCACCAG